GGGGGGGGAGGTATAGATTCGAGTAAAGATGATTTTGACAGTTTGTAAAAATAATTCTTACCATATGAAATTTTAAATTTGAAGAAAAAATATTAGTCTCACTGCATCAAGAAAATAATTTAAAATTTCTTCACCAGACAAGAATTCCAAACCACCTCTAGAAAATCAAATGGTTGCTTTCTCAGTGAGCTATTTTAGTAGACTGTTTACTTGCATTTTTTATCCCTATTCCCAGTATGTTTTGACTAAATTTTTTTTAAAATACAGATATTTCTTATTTTCATGAAACCAGAATTGTTCGTTTTCTGAATTCTGTGAGCTGAATGCTTTTATTTTGCTTTTCCCCAGATAAATCATAACAAATTACTCATATGCTTAAAAGCAATAAAATTCTACAGAGATAATATTTTTATGTACAGTACTGACATCGGGTAGTTTCTGTTTTGTACCCGAGTGTAGTGTTACATTGTGTAACACTCAAATTACACTAGATGATTTAATAGTATTATTTCAAAACCTGGGTGTTCAAGTTATGTGAAAATGTTGTTGAACTTCAGATTACCAAAGATAAGCCACCAAGACATCAACATCCTCAAAAACCTGAAAGGGAACCCATTGGCCTATATTGCTTCAGTGGATGTAGATATACCATTAAGAAAAGTGCAACTTGGCTCATATCTATCTTATCAGGTAAAAATCTGCTTGATATCACATAACATTTCGACAACAAGTTCTTATCAGCTTTTGGCCGAAAAGTGGCAAAATTGGGGTAAAAAAATCACTGTATACAATAAAAGCATTTTTCGCTTCTATATATACACATTTTCATTTAAGTAAGTACAATTAAAAGTTATTTCTACAATTATAATTTATTTTTTAATAATCAATCATCTTCATTTGAGCTTTTATCAGTGACAAAAGTAACTTGAAATAAAGTTATAAAGCAACATATTGACAGATGTCCTAACTTATGATGGCATGCATGTGGGCTATCCATGTATTAAAAATGCTTCCAGCAGACTGAACAGTTAAACCAAATCTAATGGCAATATCCTTGAAACCAAAATTGTGACGTAACTGTATCAACACTGAAAATAAGCAGTCCTCTTGTGTCAAAATTTTAATATCATTCCGACCTTTTTCATGCTGTAGTATATAGTTGTCTGGTATCAAAAATTTGAACAAACTTTTAAACCGCTTTTAAACCGCAACCGTAATTCCTGTGTAATATTTAACTTCGGTTCTTTGTCTAAAATGCTGCCTATTCCAAATTTCATTTGATCCTCAATTTTTTCCTTCAGCTGCTTTTTTTTTCGTCTTTCAATTTCATGATCATTGACTCCAATTGCTTGATTTTGTTATTTTTCAAGTCTAATTCACCATGCAAGACGTGTTAATCTGTAGATATAGCTAACATGTCCATTGGAGAAACCCCTGGAATAAAAAAAAATATGTATATATTTACAATTATAATAAATGTATATGCTGACATGATTTCTTATTTAAATATACATTTAGTTTTTAATTATGACTGATTTATTTCAGACAAGAAACATCAAAAGGACAGAGGATTCAGTCCACGGAATTGGGGCAACTCCAGATAGAAAGTTGTGTGACAATGGACAAACTGGAATTGCAGAAATCAAATATCCCTTCACAGCAAGAAACATGAAAATTTGGCAGCATGTGAAGACATTTCCAATTTTTGTCTTGAAAACAATAATTGGGAAATAAGATTAAAAACAACCCATGGCTATTACGCTCAAATTCAAGGACAGCTCATGATAACGGGATGCGACTTCTGTGAATTTATTGTATTTACACAATTCAGAGGATTATGCCAGATCAAGCTTACATGACAGGACTTCTATAAAAACTATCCAGATTTTCCAAAGACTTTGCAAAACCATTTTTGTCTAATACTTTAAACTTGAAATAAACTTACACTGTTCTTCTGTCTGAGTGCCTGTACCAGTTTCTGTTTCAACAGTTGAGTCAGATGCATGCGAATTATTCTCATCACTGCAAGAACAAAAAATTATTTGAACAAAAAAAAAATTATAATCTATGAAATTTTTGTTATGTATAAAGCTGAAATAGGCATAGTGGGGACATTAAATCAAGAATATGCTTCACAGTTAAATGAAATAATTGAATTGAGGCCACAAGTCCAATTTTTTAAAACTTTCTTTACGTCATGGAACATTATCCATAAATTTTGTGATCACTTGTACACCAGAACCAAATAAATTTCCCACTGAATGGATTTCAAAAGTTTTGAGCATGAGCAAAACATTAGGGTCAGCTATTCTAATATCCAGGAATGTACAAAGGATTGTATTTCCAACGGCATTCTTGCTCATTCTGTCTCTAGTGTGACGGGTCCTTTATCTGGAATGTGCAAGAATCATTTGATGTTCATTCCGAGTATTCTAGCGACATTCTCACATGACTTACTAAGCACATCATTGTTCATTCGTCATCAAGTCCATTAATTAAGAAAATTATAAAACATCGAATCCAAGTGTTAAGACAGGTCGATCAGTGAGTGCTTTGAAAGTAAGAAAAGAAAATTAAATTTAACTTTTTTGTGAAGGAAATCAAATTGACGTACAGATTATACAGCAATTACCGTAATTGTCTATACGATGTGACCTATGATTGAATATAACCGAAGCTCCGACCTAGTTTTCTCTGTCAATTTTAACTACGTTTATCGACAGAAGAATATGATCGTTGTTTAGCAGCACATTATTTAAGCCTAGATGATATTTACACGGGCGCCGTGCGAAGAAATTGTTCGTACCTTTTTTTATTCTATTTTACTTTTTTATTGTTATTGTTATTATTATTTTATTTATTTATTTATTTATTTATTTATTTATTTATTTTAATCGTAAGGAATTACGGGCTACGCCGAGTATGTCTACATTACATGGACTTAAATGTGTACGATTCCGTGCGATTTCGTACGGCAACCTTCTACCTTCACTCAAACGCCGTACGAAAAGGGTATTACGGGCGTTATCCGTGCACCGTACGGGCATCGCATTTCAAATGTAATCTAGGCTTTAAACGGGTAACGTACTTTGTAGGATATACCTCCCATTTTGGGCATTGTTGGGGGTTAACTAAAAATTGACCAGAAAGTACACTTGACCATTTTATTCATCAACACACAATTTTCAAACTCTTCCATAATGTTTTCAGATACACTCTTCCTTAGCTCGACTTGAGGAGAGTTGCTCCACTTTCAGGAATTATATATGCTTGGCGAGTCTTTCATAAAGTGTTTTCTGGAATTAGATAAAATACAGAACTGTACATTTGGGTAGAGTCGAGTGCAAAACATTGACACACACGTAGTTATTTAGTGATATCATCAAAATAAATGCCAAACGCCAGATTTAAAATAAACTTTTCTGTCTTTTCTTCACAAATAAACGTACATTATAAAAACTCCACACACAGCCAACTTCGGACTTGTAACAGATGCACAACGCAAAAAAGTTACTCTCAGGGATTATTCAAATTCTATTATGCCAGTAATACAAAAAAATATAAAAATGAAAAAAACATATATAAAGGTCAAGCGCTCTAGATGTGCCTTTGCCTCAGCCAAGATACCGTGATAAACTCACCAATGTCTATGTACTCTTACAGGCACATGAGGTCAGGCATGGTTCCTGCAGGGGTGGTCCCCCTGGAGACACAGTGACGGGAGGCGGACACCAGATCTGGCATTCACAGTCCTCAGAAGAGCAGCCAGAACAGTTCACGTCGGACGCCAGCGTCTGTTGTAGGCAGGAAAGGACACAGACCACGGTCAGTGCTGACCATATCTTGGAATTCATCCTGGAGGTTATGTGATGGGTACTCAACGTAGTGAGATAGAGCGTAGTAGCAGCGCTTTAGACGTCTATAGACGTTGTTAGTCGACTCTCTACTGGCGGTGATATCCTAGCTTCGCCAGAGCTTTTTATAGCTGCTTAATTCGTCATCCAGGGTTTATAACGCTCTTGGACATAACTTTTCGTAATTGAGACCGGTTAAGACCATCCCTATATCTAGATAAATAGGTGTAAACTACATATAAAATGTTGAAATTATTATCTGAATGTTCAATCTGATAGGAAATGAAACAAGAAAATCCCAACACTAATGCTTGACTTAACTTTAAAATTAATTTTGTCTTGATAAATGTATTATTTCAAAGCTGGGAAACAGATAATTGCTTACATATTTTGCAACTAAAATGCAAAATGGTGTTGTTTAGTGCAATTGGTAATTTAAATGAGCTATCTAAACGCACTGATTACTTGCAAATGCAAGAATATGACATTATATGTGGTGACAAATATGCTTAGAAATGCCTATAACGTTGCGATGAAAGAGGTTAATTAGCCCAGTCGTGTGGACTTCACTGGCGTGGTGATGAGATATTTCATATTATTAAATAAAAGAAACTGTTCGTTAAAGCACTACCGAAATCCCTCCGTCATTATCAATATAGCCAAGACTGCTCTGACGTTTGATGCTGCTGACGCCATTTTATTTCGAGAACAGGAAACTGGGAAACATTCATGTTATAGAGGCATGAGCAACATTTTCAACTATTAAATATATAAATTGGTCCTTTCAGCGCGGGTTCAAATTACTTTTTATGTTGTGGAATTGATATTTTTTGTTTATTTTTTTTATTTGTTGATTATTTATTTATTTATTTATTTATTTATTTATTTATTTATTATTATTTTGCTATTTGGTGTATGTATATTTGTCGGCGTTGGGTCGATCCCTCTAGCACGTGGTTGGGACATTATACAGATCACATGAAATGCAGGGGCGAATCCAGGATTATTTGAAGGGGGGGTCCAGAACGACGGCCTCGTATGCGAAGCCGACAATCGCCACCTATTGGTGTGGGCCTTGGAGAGCAAACAGTGCCTTTCGGTACGGTTTAGAATTATGATTCAGCTAGTCAAAATTCTAATTTCAGGAAGGGACGATTGGTGTAATATATATTTCAGAAACCTATGGGGGGGAGGGGGTCAGGACCCCCCTGACCCCCTTCTAAATCCGCCACTGGAATGTATTTAAAAGCGGTGACGTTGAATCTCGTCTTGTACTTACTCAAACAAGCAGTGCAGAGGTCGTCAGGTTCAATCTACTTTTTTTTCCTGTATGCGTCTGTATATTTGTAAGATCACTGCTTTTTTTATCTTTTCTTGACCTTTTGTCTTTATAAAGTTTTGTCTTAAATGTCGAACTACAGGTCTATCAGCGGCTAGATAAGTATACCCGACATATGCTGAATCCTGAAGATTTTAGTGAAATGTCCGACTCCTAACTCTCCTGCACTTATCAAAAAAGCTCAAACACGTGAATAGAAATGATACTTTTGTGGACTTTGAGAACACTAACTATTCGACTTCGGGTAATACTTATCGAACTTAAAAGACAATTCGTTTTCGATATCTTCGAGGGTGCGACCACGTGTTATCATATACTACATGTAGACCATGGCCTATATCCTACTGAACCTGTATAACACCTGACATATCGCGAAATACAAATATTGACGTCGACCCGAAGGCTTATTTGAACTTACAAAGGTCATTATACGGAACAAACTCTTGCAAGGCTAAATATGAATGCGATTGGGGCAGATCTCTAAATTTGTTTAGTGTAGTTTAAACTGAACTTAAAAGGTGTTTAATCCGGATTTGACGGCTTCAGTCACCGCAGTACAACGGGTATTTCGACATTCAGCAGCGTTGAGACGTCCTAAGTCAGAGTATCTTGGTTAAGTCAGCGCTCAGCCCAACAAGGCGTTAGACTGTTGCTGCAGGTACATGTTGTTGTGTAAGTTAACTTTGGTGCATTAAGATAGCGTCACGTGTACATGTAGTGTCATCTGGCAGTGACAGCGTTCAGTTTGTATGTTGTGATTTCCGCGGATAAGTAGGATCAGTTTATGACTTTCTGGTTTAATAGATTTTAATCAACACCCCGGATCGCCTAGAACTATATAGGAAATACGAAGAAGCTGTACGACGTCATAACCGCATGTTCGACTAAGTTGGACCGTCAGGACTGGACTGGAAACACCTACATGATGTCACCAGTGCGGACGCCAGTAGTGTCGCTACTCGTTTTTCTCAGTCTCTGGACGCTGAGTCACGTGACGCCCTGTTCCTGTGCAAGGTAATTAGAATTGAAACGATATTTGGCTTATGTTCTGCTTATCTTCTTCAACGATTAGAAAAAAAAAATCAACCAGTCATTAAATTTTTAAGCTAATAAAAAATTTAGTCCGAATTGATATCAGATAAGATAATATATTTTTACAAACATTAATGGAGGTTTAACTGGACGTGGAATGTTTTCTGTCTAGCATTAATGCTGTTATTAGAACCATTTTACGTGGCGTTATTTACGATTTGTTCAGTGGTTGTGACGTCAACCTCAATATTTGCAGTATTTGAGTGGCGTGGATGGGTGCAATTCCATTTCAGTTTTTCCCACCCTTACCTTATTTAAGCACGCGTCTAGTCAAGGTTTTTTATTTATATTTTCGTTTATTAATTATTTAATTAGTTTTTCTTATTTATAAATCTATTTGTATGAGAAAGGTAAAATCTTAGATAACCTATTTAGCCTACACTGTATACCTGCATATTATATTTGATGTTATTTGAGATTTAGTGATTTTAAAGTAGTATATACTCGGTGCATTTTAGATTCCTAGCAATGCCAGGCATAGGCAAGAGTGTCACTTTGGTCTTCCATAACCTGGCCAAAGTACTGCACAAACGCGGACACCAAGTTTACGTCATTGTCGGCTCAAATTTCCCTATCCCCGACTCTACCAAGGACGGCAGTGTAAATTATCTGACGTTCAAAACGGACAAGGAGTACATTTTCGCTTCGGAGGAGTTTCAGAGGAATGACGTCAAAGATATGATACAAAGTGACGGCGATATGGTGACCAATTTCAGGATGGTGAGAACTGCGTCCGAGTTCTTCACGTACCAATGTGCAGAAATGTTGGAGGACCAGGAATTATTCGTTAAACTTTTGTCGCTCAAGTTTGACGTGGCTGTGATAGGGGCGTACCCGTTCCTTGCCAACTGTCAAATTCTGCCGTACAAACTGGACTTGCCTGTAATCAGTATTACGTCATTCACCTCGTTACTAGGTCAGGCAGGGGTGCCTCTTCTCCCCTCTGTTGTACCTTCCTTGTTCACGACCTTCAATGAAGACATGGACTTCATGGAACGTGTTCAGAACTTTATGATAACACTGGTTTCTAATTTTATATCTACACCTTCAATACCTGCGGAGTTGGTGCAGAGACACGTGTCCCATAAGCCAATTAAAACATTCAACGAATTTCTGAGAGACAGTATACTTTGGCTGGTTATAAGCGTGAATCCTGCCCTAGAACCGATCCCTACCCTTCCCAATGTGATCCTACTTGGAGGGATGGGTGTGAAACAACCTGCGGCTTTGCCAGACCATCTGGAAGCGTTTGTACAGAAATTCAAATCCCAGGGAGTGGTGGTTGTTTCGTTTGGCTCTGTCGTGAAATATTTACCTACAGAAATCAGCAAAAGATTCCTGGGTGTGTTCAGCAAGCTGAAATACGGAGTCGTATGGCGTTACAGTGGAGAAGACTTGGGGGAAATACCGCCCAATATCAAACTGATGTCTTGGTTACCACAAGGCGATCTTCTAGCACATGACAGTGTGAAAGTTTTCCTGTCCCACTGTGGCAACGCCGGTTTGTACGAGGCGCTATTTAACGGCGTCCCAGTATTGGCGATGCCAATCGCCGGAGATCAGCCTTACAACGCTGAGCGACTCGTTAAGAGAGAGTTAGCTATAAAGATGTCCCACTGTGGCAACGTTTTCTCCTGACGAGCTCCTGGAAAATATCAACATTTTGGCCTCAAATTCCACATATAAGAACAACGCCAAAAGATATGCTAGGATATTGCGGGACTATCCCATGAGTCTCGTGGATCAGGCGGTCTACTGGACTGAACACGTGGTCAGATTCGGGGACTCACATTTACAGTCGCCGGGAGCACGGTTGCCATGGTACAGTTTTTATAGCCTCGACGTCATAGGTTTTCTTTTAAGTGTGGTCGTCCTAGGTGTCTATTGCATCACGATTCTTTGTAGAGCATGCAGGAGGAAGTGTGGTCAGAAGCCAGTAACAGGCGGCGACAAGAAGAAAAAATGATATCATTTCATTACTATATCTACAGAATTATCATTTTTAAATTATTATATTAAATAATATATTAAAATATGAAATATTTTTCAAAATCTTTTTTCATGTATTTTTATGACTGATGCATGGAAATAAGGAACAAAATCGTGTTTTATACCAGTAACTTTTAATAATCTCTTTGGTGCCATTGTGAAATAAGCCCCGGATTTGAGGGGTACATGTAATAAATGTGAATAAATGGTATTCAATGTGGATATATTCACCGCTAGTTTGTATTTTCTGTACCACTTATCACATTAGTTATGGTATTTGGAATCTGGAATCTATAAATGAAAGCACATGAAACTGTTGGTGGGACAGCTTTTTTGACCAATGATATTTTTAGGTAGGATTTAGTGAAAAGTAATTAAAAAAGAAAATAGAAACGAGTTATAGCAGACGATCGTTTAGCCTGTATTTACATTACGTCTAATGATATCTTATAGCGGCTCGCTAGCTATAGCCTAACTGACCCCAATTATTACTATATATGTGATCTAAGGCTTCGGTCACAACCGGACGCACGAATTTTAGGATCGCACGGCCCCTGCAAATTTTTGGTGTAGTGGAGGCCGTGGAGTTCCTAGAAGTAGAAGAAAACTTGCAATGGAAAGGCGTAAGTCTGCCTTGCGAGTCGCAGGGTCAACGTGAGAAGCAGGTACACTAATTGCAAGGTGCGATGTACTCATTTCTTGAGTTTGTCTTGCTACCTCAAACTCGGCACGCACTCACCGTTTATGAAGAGAATACTACGAACGGCGAAAGTAATATCCTTATATCCTCAGTCACAACGGCCGTACGGGCTCTTACGGGCTGTTTGCGTCCAAATTTTTGGGCAGAATCTCACGTCCCACGGAAGTCCTTACGAAATTTCGAGTTCGCAGACAGCCCGTAAGTACGGATGAAGCATGTTGGACATGTCCAAAAGATTCTACGAATAGCCTGCGAACAGCGAGGCTGCAAGCGTAACTTGCTCCCCGCGTACGGAGTAAGCAAGAGAGACGCGCGTTGTGCAAGACGCACTTCGCAAGCAATGAAGGAGCAAGTGTCCTTTGCGTGTTGAGTAAGGCGCACGCCCTGACAACTAACGAACAAAGGCGAGAACACACCGGGAATGCGTCGCACGTGCGTCACCCCCATTTGGCATTTGGAGGTGTCATTTCAATTTAATGAACATCTCTTTACCTCTGTGAAAATAACAGTGAGGTGGTACATGTAATAAATGTGAATAAATGGTATTAAATATTGATGTCTTCACCGCTAGTTTTTATTTTCTGTACCACAATCATGTTAGTTATGGTATCTGGAATGAAAATCACTATTTACAACAATATTCACCCGTAATGTGATCATTTATAAATAAATGCACATAATACTGAAGGTGGGAAAACCTTTTTGACCAATGTTATATATATAATGTTATATATTTTTTAATAAAATGGAGAGAAAAGTCTAATTTATTTCTATACCAGCTCCCCACGGTCTGCCACCATGAGTAGAGCACTTTTTCATGGTGTATTGACTTCATTCACCGAAATATATACCGTTTATGTATATATATATATATATATAATTTACTGTCAAATTTTAATAATGTACTGTAACACTGGACATTAAGAAAGTGTTAAGCAGGCTTCAGACCCATAGATAATCAATGTCACACAGGTACATTCCCATGTTAGTTTCAAAGTGAAATGTGCAGTTACAGAGAGATAAGAACTGTCTCTGAGAAATATTTAACAGTGTTAATTATACATTTAGTGCATTTGATAGTATGTTATTTATCATTTAATTATGTTTTATTCAAGGGGTTTATCCTAATATCGTATTTGCGCACATCTGACGTTTCAATATTAAAGGTACATACGGACCGAGCGTGGATTCCCAGTAAAACATGTAAACCACTTCTACTAGTTTCTTATACAACTCAAATGAATTCGATTGACCAAGGGATAAACTGAATTGATCACTCGATCAACCATAAAAGAGCTTCAGACTGCTCCTTTCTTTAAATTTATGGTCAGAAATTTAACCTACTTTCGTGACCTACTTTTCTGCCCCATTGACATGCAGCATAAAATGCTAGCGGAAAAATCCATTCAAACATCATTTTCGGGTAAAATTAAGCACTGACTTTTGGTAATTCCCTTAGTTATACTACTTGAAACTATATGCTGGCATTTGGTCGGTTTTTGTGACAAAAAATTGACTTTGTATGCATCTTTAAGCTAATTAATATTATATTAAAATCTGTTGAGTAAACGTAGACACAAGTTTCAACAATGGACTCCACAGCTGTACATAAAATTCAGGCGTGCAGCAATAAAGAGGGTTATGTAGAATTCAATATGCTCTTTCGAACATGCGCCGAGATTTTTGAATGATCTCTGAATATTTATTGTATTAGAATTGATTATCCATTCGTTCTGTCCTGTATTGAGATACATGTTAACATAACATGTAAAGATCATTACCAGTGCGAAGCATGAATATTGAGTGCCCTCGTTTGCAGACTGTATGTTATCCAGCACCTTTTGAAGGTAGGGACGATGACAGATTGAAATTGGTGCAAATGTCATGGTAACGAAAAAGCAGACCAGGGTGAAATTTAGATAAGCTCACAACAAAATTTAGGTCAGCTCAGATGCCATTAGATTAATTATAAGTACATTACAAAAAATTATAATTAAAAAAATACTGCAAAAACTGCATTTTTGTGAACGAAATGAAAACCAAGCTTATACCCTCTTCTGTGATAAAAGCAATGCCGTTGTGAACGGAATGCCGGACCACCGTTCCTTATACCCCCTTTACACTGGACGGCGTCCTTTCTGCGTCCTCTCTGCGACCATGAAATTTGGCATCGCTGTGGTCTTAATAAGGAGGCACGAGCATTAATTTTGTATCAGAATGGATGCTCAATGATCGGCCAGTTGTCGGCACGTAAAGTATTATAATTTTTTAACTCTCAAATGGGGCCGTACTGCTGGACGCAGAAAGGACGCCGTCCAGTGTAAAGGGGCCCTTAGCATTAGTAGTCCTAATGGGACCTGTATTTCTGTCATAAATATGGATAGGACTTCTATTCCTATCGGACCTGCATTCTGTTTACATTAGTCAGCGACTTGGAGGTCCGCCCTTTTTTATGTCCGTCCCTTTATAATTACTAGGTAAAGGCCAGTGATATGAATAGTATGCTTTAGTGAGCATATATAATTACTCCGTAAAATCGCCGATTTGCCGGTTCGTCTCTCTGACGTAGTGGTTAGGCAGTGCAACAATGGGAATCCAGAAGAGTATCTTAAAGTTATCCGATGTGAGTTTAAATCAAACTTCACTTCCAGAAGAAAAGGTCTGTCATTAATTTAAATTTATGAATATATATATATATATATATATATATATATATATATATATATATATATATATATATATATATATATATGATATTGTAATGATTATTTCAGATTGAACATGGCAGGCTATTTTATAAAGTAAATAAGAGGAAAGTGAAGGACGTCTTGGATGAGGGACAATGCAGTAATGATGTTGGTCATGATAATGAACTTTGGCAAATAGTCATAAGGTGGAAGGCAGGAGTATTCCTGGCTAGGGCCTTATGTAGTAAAAGGAATATCAAAATCGGGAGCGTACATCCTACAAACTGAAGGGGGATGCACCCTTAAAGGTGCCGCCAAAATTTATCTGACAAATGAATATGCACTAAAATGAAAATTAATTTATTACAACTTCTTACGTGTTATTTTTCACAATTAATTTTTTCCATTCAGTTTGTGAATATCAAAAAAATAAAGGTAATCGCATCGCTCGTTTTAATACACACATATTATTATTTATTATATGTAACTACCATTTAAGTGTGAGAGAAAAAGTAAAAGTGGACATATATAATCCCAGTATAAATCGGGAAAACAGGTCCCGTCCGGACTTGCATTCGTTGCAATGGGACTTACATTCCTTGGTAACTGTCGTCCCAAGGACGTTAAATCCTATTAACGTATGTCCTAGGACATCCATTCCTAGAAACACTAGACCTAGGACTTGCATTCCGGTCAGACTTGCGTTACTAGGACTACCATTCCGTTCATACTGTGCATACACTTGAGCTCCATATGCATATCCTACTGTATAGAAATAAAATGAATATACCGGGTTCTGAGAGAAAATTGTTGAGAGGAGAGTATCCACTGCTCATTTTAGGACATGTATATATAAAACTGATTCTTACGGAGGCAAGCTTTTTTTCACGCAAATTTCTCACCTGCATCGCTCTTAGTTACTCTAGTCTAAAATGCAATTAACTGATCTGTAAACAACTTCATTCATAACTTCTATATTAATCCACAGTTTTCTAAAACTTCTATATTAATCCACCAAAGAATATCTATAAACATGTAGGTGATACTTCGTTACTTTATTGCGATAAAATTATATAACGCATAAACCAAAATGGTTTTACATATTTTTATTTCATCTACTAATACTGTAACATAATATGAATATATACATAAAAACATGATATGATATAAATAGAATATCACTTTTTCATCATTTCTTAAAGCAAAGTTAACAGTCGCAATTTACGCAGAAAAACATGATAACCACTACAGCAAATGTTTGGTTAAGAAAACCGCCATACTAATTATTGCGTGAAAATGATTATAAAAAATATTCAAGAAGACTAAAGATAAATGGCAATTAAAATTCTTGCAATAAAACCCGACAACCACTGGTACACACTGTAGTGAATCCAGTGGTATTGTAGACCTTAAGACAATACCCCCTATGAAGGTCACTGAGGGTGTGGGTCACTGAGGAGGTGGACTGATGGGCCACTGAGGAGGGTCACTGAGGAGGAGGGTCACTGAAGAGGGTCACTGAGGAGGTGAGTCACTGAGGGGTGGTACATTGAGGAGAGTCATTGAGGGTGTGGGGTACTGAGGAGGTGGGTCACTCAGGGGGGGGAGAGTCACTGAGGATAGTCAATGAGGGGGTGGGTCACTGAGGAGAGCCACTTAGGGGTGGGTCACTGAAGAGGGTCACTGTGGTGGTGAGTCACTGAGAATAGTCACTGAAGTGATGGGTCATTGAGGAGGGTCACTGAGAGGGTGGGTCACTGAGGATAGTCACTGAGGAGGAGGGTCACCGAAGAGTATCACTGAGGAGGTGAGTCACTGAGGGGGTCGGTGTGGGGTTATGATAAAGCACATCGGACATGACACAAAGCAACTACAGGTTTTAGCATCAGAACACAGCAGCACATTAAGAACACTAAATAAACAAGAAAAAAAAAACGATGGATGGGCAGCATACGGAAAAACCACATATGGACAAATTCCAAAAGGGTCAAAAAACGTGATACAGCTAGTAGTCCCTCAAATTTGAAATGTCTGCTTTGAAATCTTTCTGGTATCAAGAGGCACGCTGTGTCCCCTTAAATATCTGATATAAAAGCACACAGGAAGCACCTGTCACCTTAACAGGAGCACACCTTTGGGTGTTTTCTTTTAAGCCTGGGTCACACTGCGCTTGCAACCTTTTGGCAACCTCTTTGCAACCTGAGTCGCAAGAAGGTTGCCATAGGTTTTTAAGTGGTCGTATAAGGTTGCTAACAGGTTGCCTGCGATCGTTGACACATGAAGGCCATTTTTTGTGCACCGACAACCAGTGCGACTAAAAATGAAAATTATTGGTATCCTAAAGGTTGCCTATCGGTCTCTTCTTGGTTGTAAGTAGATAGCTGTAACCAGTAGCACACCATTAGCAACTGCATGGTCGATTGACCGTATTTAGTCGACTGGTCGCTAACAGATTTTTTACCGATCGCAGGCGTTCAAAAATATGTCGCAGGAAGGTTGCAAGCGACTGCAAAAAAATAGGCGTAGGATGGTGGTCAATTTGGGCACTTTTTTCATAATTTGTTATGCAAGTCTTCTAAATATCAAGATCATAAACTATAATATTTTAGAAAAAGAAAACATAAATTGCATTTGTTGGCAATATTTTATACCAATTGCCAAGGCTTTCATATACCAGGTATTTCCCACTTACGAAACCAAAAAAAATGTGATGATTGTTGTCGCTTACGACAACAAGTTGCGGTTACGGTCGTATTACTAGTCAGCTTATTTTGTTATGCAAATGATTTGCTCAGTATATATACGGTCAGCAGTAGTTTGGGCGCGGCCACGTTTGTATTTGACGAGCAGAAGGCTCAGGTCGCCAAGTCTCAAGATTTAGTAGTCACTTCGGCAAAATCTGTGGATCACCATCAGGCGGGAAAAGCCACATTTCTCTGTACGTATTGTATTCAATTCTATTGTTAATCATTTTGCACAATGTATATGTAAAAGCATAAGTCGTTTGTCTATATTTCATTATTTTGTTATTTTAGTATTACCATGTCCATATCAGTGTGTGCGTAAATAAAGGTGTGAACATTTTCCCGTTGTTTGTTCGTTTGGCGTGGGATCCGCAACATGATAAAAGCAATGTATGGTTTTTTGACGTTTATTTATTTTATCATTTTACGAAAATCATAGGTAAAATGCCGAAAACCTCAATTATATATCGCTGTATATTATTAAAAATTTGCAAAGCCATATTATCAGAGTAAACAATGAAACAAATACACGAATGCATAGAAAACGGAAAATAAAAGCAATTTAATCAGCAAGATATAACTGCTATTTAATATCATAATTTCAACAGTCAAAATTATCCACAAATAAATAAACAAATCGTACAATGTGTCCAATAGACTTAAATAAAAATAGTTTCAACACAAACAATTAAACATCTTCCCAGTGCTTAATATCCTCACTACAAGAATGAGTGTAAAAAGTACACGATGTGCATGACTTGTAACGATTTAATTACATTGTATTGTAAGTGGCAAACGCCAAGGGTTAAAAAGACAAAGGGAAAATCACACATTCGGTTGCAAATAGTTGCAAAGCAGTCGGCGACCTGTTGGCAACCGGTTGGATACCCAAAGTACATGTAGGTTTTTCGGTCGCCAGGAGGTTATCGGTGCTGCACCGAAAACCGGCGCAACCGAATATTAGCCCATCCTTCATTTGGAAACCACTTTGCGAGTTGTTGCAACCGGTCGCCGACCTTTTTGCAACCGGTGACAGTTGCAAGTCGGAAAGAGGTTTTTTCTTCAGTGTGACCGTAACTGCAAAGGCCTTGCGACCTCAAAGAGACCAAGCATTTGACCAAAAAAATATTAAAGAGTATTATGAGATTAATAAGGATTAAAACGTATGCAAGTTTATGTTTTTATTACAGCACTGGTTTCGTTAGGTGAGGGTGTAGTCTTTTCAAAAGTCCACAAAACATTGTTGGTTCTATTTTTAGACAGGAAATGAAAACTTCCTGATTTTCAAGTCGATGTTCTTTCATCAAATGTTTGTAATCGCCTTACAAAATTAAGGGGCGTCTTGTAAGTGTCCAGTATTACGACTTGTTTTTACTCGTTTTACTTCTTAGGTAAACAAAGTCAATGATTATAGCAGTCCCGTTTTTGTAAAAAGCAGTCGTTTTACTAGAGAATTTTTGTGAGAGGGGGATTTATGTGAAAGCAGCTACTAGTACTGTCACAAGTTGGCAACATATATATTCTGTGCGACCTGGCTGCTATCAGTTGACAAGCGATTGCTACAGTCCTGCAACCGGTTTTCGGTCACCAATGGTTGCAGACAGGTTGTGTATCGCTCGGCAAACAGTGTGCGACTAGTAACCGATAACTTGACGATGGTCTATAAGAGGTTGCAGATACCATACTGCAACCTTGTTGCACCCGGTTTGCGACTACTTGCCGATCAAAATTGGCCACAGCTTCTAAATTAGCTTGCAAAGTGATCGCAAGCGACCGCCAGATTTTGTGGTTGCAAAAAGGTCGCAAGCGCAGTGTGACCCTTACACACAGTAGAAGCGAATTCACTCTGTCATACTCTGTTTAACTTATTTCTTCAACCTTAGCTTAGAGCAAACACAAAACGGCTGAGTCAGCAAACAAAAGAACGCTTTATTCTTTTTAATCTGCTCTTTACTTTAGTGAGAGCAGCTTAGGAATGAACAGTCGATGTATTCACTAAAAGAGAGTAAATACTACACACTGCATATTGGCAGTATCATGTTAAACCATGCTGTTCATAATAATAATGAAAAAAATAGACAATAAAATTTCCACCAAAAGGTCTATTTAAACCAGGGAATTTTATTTCAAACATAGCGAGAAAAAAATATCTGCAAACGTCTGATTCATGACTCTAGTTCTATAACCTGAGCTTTTAAGTAAACATAATACCCCCACATCAATCACCAGCCAATACACAACGGGTGCTGTTGTTGACCTGACAGTTGCTATGGTCGGGTCAACGTCAGGTAATAAACAGACAAAATATTTTCTTCTACCCTTGAGCAGTACTGAAAGAGACAGGAAGAAACAGGGCGCACATTTCAGGGATTTCATCAGAAGTATTTGGCAGAAAAACTGACATGACAGGAGGCCAGTCAAAGAGTATGCTAAGTGGGCGTTTATTATTCTGTGCGCATTGCTAATATGAACTGAAAATCTTTAACAATTTGGCTGTGACTGAGTGATTCAATCAATAACCTGCACCATCTGTACACAACTTGTACCATGTAAGAGACAGTCAGATTTGCCAGAAGCACTAGCAGCAGATATTAAAGATAAAATCTTGGCATGCGACATTACGCTGCTTAAACAGTATACTATGTACGTGGTGTAACTGTGATCTCTGTTAACACTTTTGTGACCCAGTGACAGAAATACCTTAGCCAGCTTTCTACCCTTGTACCTTGATTCAGGTATGGCAGAAGCATTAGCAACAGCTATCACGGATAATTTCTTGACATGTAGCATCTGTCTGGGAGAGTATGAGGACCCCCGTTTGCTGTCTTGCTGCCATACATTTTGCTATGGTTGTATATGTGACTATGCTTCGCAAACTCGGGGCAGGATATTTCAATGCCCCCTCTGTAGAGAAGTGATAAATAAGGATGGACTTGTAAAATTAAAAAAAGATTTCCGAGTTCACAAAACGAAAGAGCTTCTGAGTCAGAGACCACAGCATGAAGCATCATCTCCAAGTAAAGAAACTGATGTGCATGGTGTGACACAGGCCATTGCACAGACGGACATCGGTAGTGAAGTAAGTTATTACTGTGAGGATGACGATGACAATGGATATGGTGATCGTGGAGCATCAAATCATGGTAATTCATTAGCTGAAATTGTTACACAAAGCAACAGACAAAAAATCAGAGCTGTCCTTGTACAAACCGAGAAAATAATGAACAGTTTTCAAAAGGCAATCGCCAAGGTGACAGACAATAAAACAGAGGACTGTCAGATAAGGACATCAATCATCACTGAGATTGAACAACAATACAAGCGTATTATTCGACTAATTAAAAAGAGAAAAATGGTTTTGATGTCGGAAGTAAATTCTGCCTATGATGACAAAATACAGCGGCAGGAGGCAAAGAAGGACATTCTTGAACACGACCATGCCTCCTTGCACAGTGTCTGCAAATTTTCCCAGGAACTTTTGACTAATGGCACTGACTCTGATATCATGGCTCACTTTGAATCCCTCATAGAAGTATTGGGAAAAATAACTTTCCCAACTCCAGAGACACCTGTTGAGATATCCTACAGCCCTGGTAAGATATCTGCAGCTGGACTGGAAGCCATGTTAGGAAATGTGACGGTACAATCACAACGCCCAGTAACTGAACAGGCAACATCGGTCACAGTAGTTGGGTCACAGTACCCGCCAGTAACTGAACAGGCAACAGCGGTCAAAGTAGTTGGGTCACAGTACCCGCCAGTAACTGAACAGGCAACATCGGTCACAGTAGTTGGGTCACAGTACCCGCCAGTAACTGAACAGGCAACAGCAGTCACAGTAGTTGGGTCACAGTACCCGCCAGTAACTGAACAGGCAACAGCGGTCTCTGTAGCTCAGTCACAATACCCATCTTTTAGGAGGACAACGTCTTCTGTATATCCAATTCTTCCCACTTTCTTAGGGACGGCAGGATGTGTGCATTCTTTTAGTCCTAAACTGAAACATGACAGCGTAATCAAAATAAGTGGATTAGCCATAGATGAGGAACAAGTGTTTGTCGTGGATAATGGAATTGGCAGAACAAGAATATTTTCACATACAGGGGAATTCAAGTTCGAGATAAAACTAAAAAACCCAGAAGATGTAGCACTGTCACAGACTGGTGGGCTCTACATTACATCACAGGGTTACAAATGTGTCAAAGTGTACTCCACCAGAGGTGAGCACGTGACAACCATGGGTGGGGGTCAAATGGAGAAGCCAAGTGGCATTACACTGAATTTACAAGGTCATGTGATAGTTAGTGACAGGGATAGGAGATCTATCTTCACATTCCATGCAGGCAGTGGACAGCTCCTGAACACTATTCCACTCAGTATGTGTGAGGAACCAGGCTACATCACAGTGAACAGTGTGAATGATAACATTGTGATATCAGACTTTGGAAATGACTGTGTACATGTGCTGTCACCTACTGGTGATCATCTGTATCAGTATGGTACACAAGGAAGTGGTGATGGTCAGCTGAATGGACCATGTGGGGTATGCACAGACAGCTTTGGTTACATCTTCATTGCTGACACGTGGAACCACAGGATAGTGGCATTGAATCCACAAGGGCAGTTTATCAGATACATTGCCACTAAGAAGGATGGGTTGTGGTGCCCCACAGCATTAGCCATCAACCCTGCTGCCCAGCTAGTGGTGGCAGAGAAATGGGGTAAAGTTAAGACATTCCAGTACCTACAATAACTACTGATCACACGGTGCACAGTTAAAAATATAACACAAATTGCGTGTGGGAGTCCCATTTTGACTCACTGTGCTCTTTTCTTCGTAGTTTCCTCTAAGACTGTGCAGTGTTTGTTCAACAAACCGAGTTACAAGAAAAGCCATGCCTAATATCGGTACCGTCATGTACAAAATACAGTTATCAAGAGGGCGATGCACTTTTTTGGTACCTTTTTGTAAGAAATAAAGAAAGTTATGCAGTACATCGGTGTGTTTATGTAGTAAATATAAAACCCAAATATATCGTAATAAAGAGAGCTGGGTGATTGCATAACAACTAACCAAGTGAGGATACCCTTCGTCAAGATATTTCTGATGTTCACATATTTTATAGATATTATAGGAGCTTTAAAAGAACCTTAGATTGATGTCTGAGCTGTTTTCAGAGTTATGATGATCCAAAGTTGTGACTTGCTCAAGGCTCGTTGTGCTTTTAAATGATATTTAACATTTCTTGTTGGTTATGCAAAGTGCCTTCATGTAGCAAATAAATGCAGTTTATCAGTACCTCCATGGGTCTTTTCAATGCCTCTTAAACTTAGTATATCCAGCCTTTTTCTCATGATGGTGGAGTCCAACTTCCGCTCAAACGAAAACAGATCCACGCATGCTTTGGACTCTGGGACAAACTACAATATAGCTAACATCATTCGCAATTATCAGCACAACGTACAAAGACTGCTTTCTATTCTAAAACTCTTTTAAAATTTAAACTTTTTAAAATTTAAATTGGACTGGATTTGATTTTGCTAAAAGTGTTATGGCTATTTAAAACCTTTATAATTAGCCAGATACAGAAAATGAGATCACCAACATTTTTATTTCCTAATTCTGAAGAAATAAGGGTAGATAGGATATAAATACGAAGTAAAAAGTACAATCAACCACCCCTAGGGACGGTCACATCCCAATTTACAAATTAATAATTGCCCATGCACATGCCTAACAACATATTTGTTATTCCCTGACGTTTCAACTTCCTAACTCTAATGGTTAAGAAAAAACAATGAGAAATAAGTTAAAATTTCCCCGCCCCTGGGACAGCCCGACCAGTTTCGGCGTACCTTGTCGAAACAAACGCGTCCCCACTCCAATTCTACCTGTTTCGTACTTTAAACTGTTTCAGGGACTTAGAAAAAATCCTGGTTGCAAAATGCGTTGCAGTTTCAAAATGGGGCTCTACAGCGCTTAAAATTGACATTAGCAATTGCCTGCTTTCAAATATTTCTGGTATCAAGAGGCACACTGTGTTCAATTAAATATTTCCATTTAAAAGCATACACGAAGCACCTGTCACCTGAACAGAGGCACACTAGGTGTATTCTTCCACACACAGCAGAACAGAAATCATTCTTCCATGCTGTGTTTAACTTATTTCTTCAACCTTAGCTTAGAGCAAACACAAAACGGCTGAGTCAGCAAACAAAATACCGCTTTATTCTTTTTAATCTGCTTTTTACTTTAATGAGAGCAGCTTAGGAATGAACAGTCGATGTATTCACTAAAAGAGAGTAAATACTACACACTGCGTATTGCAAGCATCACGTTAAAAACATGCTATTTTTTATATATATAAAAATTATAGACAAGAAAACTTTAGCAAAAAACACAATTAAAAGTATGGATTTTTATTTAACACAAACCGAGAAAAAACTGCATATATCTGATCCATTGTTGTATTTCTATAACCTGAGCTTATAAAAGTAAACACAATACCATTACTTCGATCACCAGCCAATACACAATGTGTATTGCTAATGATCTCACAGTTGCTATGGTCGAGTCAGCTTCAGGTCATAAACAGACGACATATTTTCCTCTACCTTGAGCAGTTTATGAAGGGTCAAGAAGAAAAAAGACTTTTCAGGGATTGCATCAAAACCATTTGACAGTAGGCCAGTCACTGGGTAGCCTGAGTAATACATGTAATTAATAAGTGTTATCAGCGTAAGGAAGTAAATAGGGGATTGAGAATCTTTTAACTGAGTGATTCAATCAATAAAGTTTCTATAACTTGTACCATTACAAAAAAAAAAAAAAAAAAAAAAAAAAAAAAAACATTCACACATATGGCAGAAACACTAGCAACAGTCTACGGTCAGTGCGGACTAGATCTTGGAGTTCATCCTGGAGGTTAGGCGACGGGTACTCAACGTAGTGAGATAGAACTTAGTAGCAGCGCTTTAGACGACTTTAGACGTAGTTAGACGACTGTCTACTGGCGGTGATATCCGACCTTCGACGGAGCTTTTTATAGCTGTCGTAACTTTTCGTAATTGAGAACGGTTAAAACTATCCCCTATCTAGACAAATAGGTACAAATGATATATAAAATGTTAAAAGTATTTGTCTGAATGTTCAATCTGAAAGGAAATGCTAGGCTGAACGTTAAAATTAATTTTGCCTGGATAAATGCATTGTTTCAAAGTTGGAAAGAGATAATTGCTTACATATTTCGCCCCTAAAATGCAACATGGTGTTGTTTAGTGCAATTGGTAATTGAAATGAGCCATCCAAATGCACTGATAACTAGGAAATACAAGAATATTTCATTATATGTGGTGACAAATGTGTTTACAACTGCATATAACGTTGCGATGAAAGAGGTTAATTAGCCCAACCGTGTGGACTTCACTGGCGCGGTGATGAGATATTTCTATTTTTTTTAACTGATTATGAAAGCATTTCCGAAATCATCCTAACTCATAAGGTCGAGAAAGACTACTCTAACGCTGGGGCGGTTGCAAAGCCGACCACGCCCATTTGGCGTGGGGTTCACAACAGGGCCCCTAGATTTTTTTCTGGGGATCAAACAGTGCCCTTTGGTACGGTGTAGAACTATGATTTACATGTAGCTAGTCAAACTTCATTTCAAGATGGGAATATTGGTGTGATATGTTGGTGTGAACACATTGGTCTGTTTAGCTCGGATTACTATGTCATTTTTTTATTTTAACATTATTTATTTATTTATTCATTTACTTATTTATTTATTTATTTATTTATTTATTTATTTATTTATTTGCTATTTGGTAGTTGTATATTTGCCGGCGTGGCGTCTGTCCGTCTAGGAGGAGCATTACAAAAATGACAAGAAATTTATTCAAAAGCGGTGACATTGCTCAACCTGGGCTTTCTCAAACAGGCGGTGCAGGGCCAATCTACTTTTTTTCTGTAAACGTCTTTAAATGTCCAATATGGCTGTCTCTTTCAGTCTTTTCTTGATCTTTTTTAAAAATATCTTTAATGCTTCCTTTCTTTCTTTTAATTTTTCATTTTGCCTTTACTTGGCTAATTTGTCTATCTGTCAGCGTCTTAATGTATATGTGTTGGACTCTAAGGGTTTTAATGAAATTTTACAGATTGCTAGCTCTTCTAGTTTTACGAAATAGCTTTAACACATGCACAGAAATTATAATTCTGTAAACTTCGAGTACACCGACTTTTCGCTTCGGTGTGGGTAATACCTATCGAATTCGACAGACAATTCGTTTTTGCTCTCTTCGAGGGTACAGAGCCTTGACATAATCACTTGTTATCATATATAGGCCATGACCTAAATTCTACCTGTATCACAACTGGCACATTGCGAAATACAAATATTGTCGCCGAACTGTAGGCTTACTTAACTTACAAAGGCCATTATATGGAACAAACACTCCAGGGGTTATAATAGTGTAGCGTTTGCTTAAACTGAACTTAAAAGGTGCTCTCAATCCGGTTTTGACGGCTTCAGTTACCTCAGTGCATGATAAGACCCACAACGGGGTATTACGACATTCAGCAGCGTTGAGACGTCCTCAGTCAGTGCCTTTCGGTTAAGGCAAAGCTTAGTCCAACAAGGCGTTGGATTGTTGCTGCAAGTACATGTGTACCTTAATTTGGGTATCAGCACTTGACCTTTACAGTATCTCATGTATGTACTATCAACTGGCAGTGACAACGTTCATTTTGTGATTAACGCCGGTAAGCGGGAGCAGTTTATGACTTTCTTTCCCGGGAAGACGGACTCCCTGCTTAAACAGGTAGACTTTTGACCACCCCTACCCTCGGAGTGGTCTGTTGGTTCTAGCCTGGCACTACTAATATATATGACCTGTGAAAAGGTTGTACGGAGTCCAAATCGCATGTTCGACCAAGTCAAGCCGTCAGAACTGGACTGGAAAGATCAACATGATGTCACCAGTGAGGACGCCAGTTGTGTCGCTACTCGTCCTTCTCAGTCTCTGGACGCTGAGTCACGTGGCACCCTGTTCCTGTGCAAGGTCATTAGAATTAAGCGATATTTTTCTTATGTTCTGCTTATCTTTTGCAACGATTAGGAAAAGTCACCATGTCATTAAAATATTAAGCTAACGAAAGGTTTAGATTGGATAGATTTCATAAGATACTATAATTTTTTTCAAACAGAAATGGAGATATGATTGGAGGTGAACTGTTTTCTGTTTAACCTAATACTGTTGATACAACCCATTTTGCTGATGCACGATATGTCACGTGCCTCCCGCTTATATGGTGCGTTTCATGGGTCTATACATATGTTTTTGTATGAAAAAGTAGAATCTTAAAACTTATTCGTCCTACACTGTATACCTACAATATTATATTTGGTGGTATTTGTGAATTTAGTGATTTTAAAGAAGTATTTACTGTGTACATTTCAGATTCCTAGCAATGCCAGGCATAGGCAAGAGTGTCACTTTGGTCTTCCATAACCTGGCCAAAGAACTGCACAAACGCGGACACCAAGTTTACGTCATTGTCGGCTCAAATTTCCCCATCCCCGACTCCACCAAGGACGGCAGTGTCAATTACCTGACATTCAAAACGGACAAAGAGTACATTCTGGGTTCGGAGGAATTTCAGAGGAATGACGTCAAAGATATGATACAAAGTGACGGCGATATGGTGACCAATTTCCGGTTGGTAAGAACTGCGTCCGAGTTTTTCACGTCCCAATGTGCAGAAATGTTGGAGGACCAGGAACTATTCGCAAAACTTTCGTCGCTCAAGTTTGACGTGGCGGTGATAGGGGCGTATCCATTTCTGGCCAACTGCCAGATTCTGCCGTACAAACTGGACTTGCCTGTAATCAGTATTACGTCATTCACCTCGTTACTAGGTCAGGCGGGGTTGCCTCTTCTCCCATCTGTTATCCCCTCTTTGTTCACAACCTTCACTGAACACATGGACTTCATGGAACGTGTTCAGAACTTTGTCATCACACTGGTTTCTAACTTTATATTTACACCTTCAATACCTGCGGAGTTGGTGCATAGGCACGTGCCCCATAAACCATTTAAAACATTTAACGAATTTCTCAGAGATAGTATACTTTGGCTGGTGATAAGCGTGAATCCTGCCCTAGAACCGATCCCTACCCTTCCAAATGTGATCCTACTTGGCGGAATGGGTGTGAAGCAACCTGCGGCTTTGCCAGACCATCTGGAAGCGTTTGTACAGAAATTCAAATCCCAGGGAGTACTGGTAGTTTCGTTTGGCTCTGTCGTAAAGTATTTGCCTACAGAAATCAGCAAAAGATTCCTGGGTGTGTTCAGCAAGCTGAAATATGGAGTCGTATGGCGTTACAGTGGAGAAGACTTGGGGGAAATACCGCCCAATATCAAACTGATGTCTTGGTTACCACAAAGCGATCTTCTGGCGCATGAGAGCGTGAAAGTATTCCTGTCCCACTGTGGCAACGCCGGTTCGTACGAAGCGCTATTTAACGGCGTCCCAGTATTGGCAATGCCAATCGCCGGAGATCAGCCCCACAACGCTGAGCGACTCGTTAAGAGAGGGTTGGCTATAAAGATGTCCGTTGCAACGTTCTCTCCTGGCGAGCTCCTGGAAAATATCAACATTTTGGCCTCAAATTCCACATATCAGAGCAACACCAAAAGATATGCCCGGATATTACGGGACTATCCCATGAGTCTCGTGGATCAGGCGGTCTACTGGATTGAACACGTGGTCAGGTTCGGGGGCTCACATTTACAGTCACCGGGGGCACAGTTGCCATGGTACATTTTCTATAGCCTCGACGTCATAGGTTTTCTTTTAAGTGTGGTCGTCTTAGGTGTCTATTGCATCAAGATTCTTTGTAGAGCATGCAGGAGGAAGTGTGATCAGAATCCAGCAACAGGCGGCGACAAGAAGAAACAATGATATCATTTCATTACTATCTACAGAATTGCCATTTAATATGAAATATTTATTTTTATGACTGATGCATGGAAATAAGAATTAAAATCGTGTTTTGTATCAGTAACTTTTAAAAATCTATTTGATGCCATTGTGACATCAGTCCTTTAATTGAATTCGCCAGTGAACCAAACAGTCCAGAGGAGAACCAAACTCCAAATAGTCAGGACCAATTCCGCCAAGCATTTTAGGATATCCAACAAAACAGAATGGTTTTCCTTGTTGAAGGCAGCAGCACCGTCTACAGGAGGTAATTATATTACACAGTAAACACAAACGCTAACAGACATGCACGTGACCTTAAGCGACCATACCCAAATGCTAAATATGAGTAAATTTGGTGACGTTTGGTGGTGTCTTTTCAATTTAATGTGGAAATGACAGTGGAACATCAGATTTGAGGGGATACATGCAATAAAAGTGAATAAGTGGTATAAATATTGATATCTTCGCCGCTAGTTTGTATTTTCTGTACCACTAATCATGTTAGTAATGGAATCTGGAATGAAAATCACCATTCATAGCAATTAAATCCGGTGATGTGGTCATCTATAAATAAAAGCACATAAAACTGTTGGTGGGACAACCTTTTTGACCAATGATAGTTTTAGGTACTGTAGGATTTAGTGAAAAGTAATTAAAAAAGAAAATAGAACCAGGTTATACAAAGCAGACTATTGTTTGGCCAGTATTTACATTACATCTAATGATTTTTATAGCGGCCTGCTAGCCTCACTGACCCCAATTGTTACAATATATGTGATCTAAAACCTCTTTCACAACCGTATGCACGGATTTGAGGATTTCTGTATACTTGTTAAACATTTGTACTGTTGGGTGTCTGTCTTGAGCGATTATTAATTACTCTGGGATATACAGGCACGGATCCAGGATTTTTGATAAAGGGGTCCAGAGGCGTTCAAAGGGGGGGGGGCACACGGCAGGGAATTGGTATGCTATTGGAATATAAGACGATAAAAAAAGGGTTTAAAACGAAGCACTGAAGGTACATAATTGTATACTCCAATCGCCTTGATCAAGTCGCATCGCACTCTGAAAATACTTATTTCCATAAATTTTTATTAGGCTACTATTTTATCTATACATGCAAGAAGGCATTATATTTAACACTGTTATATATATGAATACAAATGTCCTATGAAGTGGTAAATATCGAAAGTCGCTCGAGGATCTTTTTTTTTTTTTTCAACCAATAAAGTCACCTTTATCATGGTAATATACGTGTGTTTGTTAGTGTATATATGTGTGTATGAGTAGTCAGATGTTTTAATTATTTCATAAGTTTAATAATAATGATAATAATTATAATTATAATATTTCATATGGGGCAGTCTACTAAGCGTTAGTTCGGACCAGACCAGCAATAAAAGATTTTCTGAATAACTGTGAAAAAGGGGCATATTATATCGTGTTGGAGTGCTTGAAAAAATTCATAGCAACAGCATCTCAATAAGAACACACTTTAAAAAAATCAGCATGGTTTGTCATTTTCACAATATCATCACGTGATAACAATATGGTGTTTACGTGATACAGGCGTGATTTACTCGCCGAGCTGGTCATGTTGACACCGCGGTACGTTACGGACGTAGTTGCAGGTCAATAGGCTCTGGTCCCACACCAGCTGTCCGGCTTGGCTACGGGGGCAGGTCATGACCACGGGCCTTGACCACACACACACCACAAACTTCCCACAGTCGAAGGGGTGGGCCACCTTGGCAAAAGCAGTCGGGCATGCAATTACTGGAAAAAGAGAAAGCATATAATTTCTTCAAAATTGTTGAAATGTACATTTTCATACAGGTATAAAAGCTTAAGTTTTTGGACGCAAGCTTGAATCTTGTTGTCTGCATTCGTCTTGCTGCTTGTATTTTGCCTTGATGTTTTATGAGGCAATAAAGGTTTAATGAGGCAATTAAGCCCAAAGCAATTCACAAAGAGAGAGAGAGAGAGAGAGAGAGAGAGGTGACTTTCTTACCAACATTGATAACTGTCAAATATCCAGATTCTGAGTCAACGCCTGCGATGTAGTTTTCAGCTCGGCACGAGTATGATCCCGCATCCGAATCTGACACCGATTCCAAGCGCAAGGTCTTCGAGGTTATTCCCAGCGCCTCTCCATCCTTAAACCAGGAGTAGTCCGGTGTGGGATCACCAGTCGCTTCGCATGTGAACTGCACGGACTCTCCAGTCGAAACAGTGGTGTTTCTGGGTCCTGCAATGATTTGCGGTGCGGTTTTACAGAATACGTCATGAAGCCTGATATTATCAAGAAGATCCATGATTTTTCGGCTATATTGATAAGCCTCATTGATGTCTATGTCTTCCTCGCTGTTCACAAGTGCCAGGATTGAGTTCTCCAGAGCGGGAAGATAGCCCTTGATGCTTTCGACACCAGTTAACTGTAGATTGGTATCATAAAGATCATATAGACGTCCAAGGTCGTACAGCACACAATCTCTGAAGTTAGCACAAACATCAGGCGGATATGTTGATGATGTAATATTTTCTGCGACACTGATCCACGATTCCACAAACGCCATCTTCGCTGCTTGTTCTGTCTCCTCCAGAATCATACTCTTGGCAAACGTAGATGCCCCCAGAGCCTCTTTAAGTTCCGGATCATTCGTGATGTTCGCCAAAGTCTCTGCAAATGCCGCCTCCATCTCCTCAGCCGTGAGATTGTAATCAGATTCACCGACTGTAACATTAACCCCGAAAGACGCTAATGATCCATTCGATAGTTGAGGGGTGTCAACATCTGGGAAGGTCTCCAACATGGCCGTCACGTTGTCTAACGATGCTTTGGAGTCAGTTGCAACACTTAAAAGGGAACCAAAGACGCGACGCAGAAATCCCTCCGCTTCGTTAAAAGTGTCACAATTTTCTGCAAACATATCGACTCTGTTTTTCTCGTCACTAAGGTTGTTGAGATCCTCATGGGTGCTGTTCTTGAAGCCAGTAATATCATCTTTTACGTCAAGGGTTTCATTTAATAGTTGTTCGCCTACTTCGATGCTCCCAGTTTGACGAATTACCCGATATAAGGTGTGCATCTTGGCGTTCACGTCAAACTCTATCTCGCGGCGTTTTCGTCCAGCGAAGACACCTTTAAGTGCATTCAGAAGTGCTTTAATTGTAGCTTTAGCTGCTTCCAGTATGCTCTGCAATATATTTTTAAAGTTGATCCTTATCCTTACGGTCCTCCAACCAAGGCGGAATGCATTCACTTCACACGACACATCAAATATAGGTAAATCGACTGTAGAAAGCTCCACTCGGAACCCACACTGCCTAACATCTATTATGGACTGCAGCCCGTAAGTGACAATCAGCTCAAACACTTTGGAGGCCGCTCTCACTGCAAACTTCACTACTTCAAGAGCAGCCTTGGCAGCTTCAATGGTTGCTTTAACCCCTTCCAGGGCAAGCTTAGCCAGTTCCAAAGCACCTTCAGCGATGTCCAGCACCACCCTTGCTTTATCCACCACGATCTGCGCTGCTGCCACAGCGGCCTTAGCAACATCCATAGCGGCCATAGGTGCTTTAACAGCTAACTGGGCCACTTTTAGGGCGGCGTATGCTGCCAACCGGATGCCCTTACAGACCACATTAGCAGCCACACAAATGGGATCTGGTACTTCGATCATGCACTTTGTCCACTTACAGCAAGGGTAAGGGATTCTGATTCGCCAGATTTTCTTATAACACCATTTACATTTTACTCCTGGAATGCAGACTTTCTTGCA